GACCTTCTTCATTGGTTTTGTTCCGATTTTTTAATCTTTTTTAAGAAATTGAAATTTATATTTTATTTTCCCTATTTTTTAGTATTTTTTCTGATACACTGTATTTGAATGCGTATTTAGGCGCACACGCACACACACCCTTTACCAAAGCATACGAGTGAGTATATGTCTATCTATGGACAATAGCAACCACCTTATGCATTGGCCATTTAGATTTTAATCGCTTGCAATAATTTGCACTGATTCCGTTTTTTCGTTCCTTTTGTCGATTCATTTCGTCTTGGTTCGGCAAACGTCTAAACATTTGCTGCGGACGTCCTGTTTAGCTGGGACTCGTATTTCATTTGCTTCTCAATTCGTATTTTTTCCTCTTTTTACTGTCGCCGCCACCAGCGCTACTGCTCATGTGGAACCAATTGTTGCATGAGTCATTGCCGTATAATCAGTTATGTGAATTTCTTATCCAGTTTTGTTTCCTTCTTTCAGTTGCTTTGAGTTTTGATGTCCTATCCTGTCTGGTCGTTGGCCATAGGTATATGGGGGTTCACTAAACTTGATTTAAGATCTCCCCTGCTTTTGCCATTCCATCCTTCCCCCCCAACCCCTGGCCAGGGCGAACAATTGGACCGGATATTACTGTGATCCTTCAGGAAGGCGTTAAGCAAATATGCAGACATTAGTCATTAAGTGGAGCTCTTAAGTTGGATTATGTGATTATGTGCAAAGGATGTTGTATTATTTGGTTGTGGCGTTTGTGTTTGTTTACCTTTATGCTCCTCCCGTGTTAAGCATAGGTAAGGACATTTATTTTGGGGCTTCCGTCTTCCTTTTTTTTTTCTTAACTAAACTCCAGTTCTGGTGTGTCTTGCTGATTAAGATTTGAATTAAGATAAAACGATTATTTGAGAGGACTTCAGGATGTGAGTGCGTGTGTTTTTTGCAAATACCGCTATATGTTTGCCTTCAATTTCCTCATGAGGATATTGACCAATAACCTTGGGCAAACCATTCCCATGTAGATGTTGTTTGACTGTGGTTTAATTTATTTCCGGAAGACTTTCAATGAATGAATACATTCAGTCATTGATAAATTAAGGATCATAAATTTCGGCGGCCTCAAGAGAGGCGACGAGGTAACGATTTCGAAATATGGTTAAGATGAAAATCTAACATTATTTACTTAGTTTTTAAATATGAGTGCATTAAAATAATTAATTTGAAAATTTAGCAATTGACTCACATTAGTGGAAAAACTTTGGCCAGATGAATGTATCTTCTCAAATTTCTCTGAAAGGAGCAATAAAATGACAATATTCTTCAAATTGTTTAATTTGTGATTTGAAATTGGTACTTCAACTACAAAAAGTGATCCCTAGGTACTTAATATGGTACAATTGGTTTTGAGGCATCGAAAAGAGCTGAGACTTAAAATTATTGCATATCTTACTTACATTTATAAAATCGTGTAATGGAAGGCTTCTAGAACTTTGTACTTAAGAGTACGCTAAATTCACAAAAAGTTCTGAAGTGTTTAAAATGACGTCCAATTGGCGTCGGGCACCGACGCAGATGGAATTGTTTGCCTGAGGTTTTTCTGAGCCACATCTGATATATGGTTCCATATACCATGCTTTGCTTGGCCGATAGTGGTAAACTGCCGAATTTGGTTTTCTCCGATCGTTGTCCAGCAGTTTGTAAACAAACAAAATGATCGTGGTGATGGTGTGGGCCGCCATAACAGCCGATGGTCGCTCTCCGCTCGTAGTAATCGACGTGGCATCAGAATAAATGTCGAATATTATCGCGAAAATATCCTGGAGGGTGTATTCAAGCCTTGGGCACACAAACATTTTGGCCGCAGACCTTGGACATTCCAACAGCATGCGCCAGCAAAAAATGGTTACAAACTAAGGTTCCTCGCATCATTTCCAGCGCACAATGGCCACCAAAATCTCCGGATACCAATCCCTTAGACTATTGTGTGCGGAGTACTTTGGAAAGCAAGGTTGGTACTAAAAAATATCAAAGTGTCGATCACCTCAAGCAAGCGCTTCGCCGGGAATGGGCCAAAATACCGCAGAACAACATTCGGGCAGCGTGTGACATTTTCATTGGCCTTTTGAGGGCCATAATTCGTGCCAAAGATGACCAATTCGAACAAATCTAAACTTATTCTAAAATTTTATGCTATTTCCGACATATTTTGCTTTTGTTCAATAACATTTAAAAAAAAAATGTAAAATTTATGGCGTTTAGCTTTGTTGCAGTTTTTTTTTTACCCCACCCGTATATGGGGGATACAGGTATATCTTAAGCGATTTTCAAGAAATTTGAAGTACTGGCTTCTGAGCTGAGTTCGGCCGTATGTGTGAGAATCTATTTGGGTTAATTGTAACCACAATAGACGTGAAAATAAATAAACATATATTCGGGTGACGCATCCAAGTCTGAACAGATCTCGATTAAATTTGGCATAGACATTGTAGAGCTGTATGAAATTTTTGGCACCAAATATCATTGTTTTGGAGCACACATTACGGGTGTGAGGGACTTAAACACCAAATCGGATGAAACGTATATAGGGGGATATAGCTATATTTGAAGCCATTTTTACGAAATTTAAAGTATTTCCTTCCATGCATAATTCGGTTGGATGTACCGAAATCCATCCTATTAGGACGAACAATTTCGGCACAATAAAATTGATATCCGATGAAGATATATATGAGTACTATATCTAAAACTGGACCGATTTTCATAAATTTCATAGGGTTCGTCCTTGTGTCAAAAAAATTATTTGTGAAAAATTTCATCTCAATCTGGCAATAAATGCGAAGTGCACTTTGTTTAATTCTTAATCCTTTTAATAAACTCCCCCAGAAGGTAAAGAAAACGGGATGAAATATTAGGTCTACTTCCATTTTTGCCAGTGAAATCGGCAGTGGATGTTACATATTGTGAGTTTTAAATACCAAATTTAAAAAAAAAAATCTCTAAAAAATATTGCTAAAATCATCAAAATACGAAATATTCGGAGTTACCTCTTCATAAGTGACAGACAGAATTTTAAAAGATTCCCCTGAAAAATGAAGCTAAATTCAATATAGAAGGTCGGGAATAACATGAAGGGTTATGGGAAAACGGGGACTTATACAAGGCAATAATCTGCCACAAGAGGTTGAACCCGCTACAAACTTTAATTAGCGACTTTTAAACAAGTAATTTCAAAATGGGACTTGAATCGTCCAAATAGTGAATATTAGGACTTTATATTGGAGCTAGAGGAAAACGAGGACCTACGTGGTCCATTAATGAACTTAACCTGCCTACGGGACAAATACACAGGAGATCAAAATGTTAGCCTTCTATACCATTTCCTTCAAATATAGCCTGATTACAACAAAAGAAGAGACAGACGGAAATCGCTTAATTGACTTAGAAATTTACACTGTAAGGTCTAACGGATATATGGAGGAGTTACAAACGGAAGCACAAAGTTAATATTTTAGGTAATCGTACTTATATATAATCTTTTTATGTCGATATGCCGATATCATCTGAAAAATAAATATTTTCTAGGTCCTTCGTAGCTCGTGACCTTTTTATAAAATAATTTTTTTCAGGAATATCGACATTTGAATATTAGAAATTTTCAAGTCAAATTCGAATACAATTGATTATAAAATTTCCCACGTTTTAATCCCTCTATGCCTAATAATTCTGCCAAATTTCCATACCGTTCAATGAACTCTAAAAATCCTACAGGTTTTATTTACTTCTCTGTTTTTTTTTTTTTTTTTTTTTTTTTTTTTTTTTTTTTTTTTTTTGACATTCCTTATGCCTTCAAACCTCATCAAGTAATTTAGCCATCAGAACTTGAACCTTTTCCAACTAAAATTTCAGCGACATTTTGTTGATGCGATGCGATGAAATGAAAACTACTTCAAATTTATTCCGGCGAAAAAAGTCAATATTTGTTTAATTAAGTGGTTTTGGGATATATTGAAAGGATGTCAAATTGAAAAAAAAAAAACTAAAAACAACAAACTCTCACAAACTAGACAGCTGTGTGAATGCACTCTAAACGAAATTCAGTTAAAAAACGTCCGAAAAGAATCCTTAAAAAATTCAAACGAAAGTATCGAATATCAGTAATAATATTTGAAAATTCTAAACAACGTAACCGCACACACACACGCAAACACACAGTTGAAGATGTAACCATTGATGATCGCTTTGTAATGCAATCAACATATTGTGGTTGGTTTTCCATCTAAAGGAGAAATAGATAAAAGAAATCATCAAAGATGAAAATAAAAATGCAAAACAGGGATAAAAAAAAACGAAGACACGATGTGTGGTTGTGTAACCCAAGCATTAGAAGTTAAATAAAACAGACCTTTTAAACCAGGTGTTGGAAGGTCTATTAACCTTTAGTCTCTGCTTATTGATTTGTCTGGCTGTGGCTGACTGTCTGACTTTTGCAGCAGCAGCCGTCGCAGCAGACAAACAACAACAACACTACCAACAAGATGATCAATCGATGAAAGGCAGTTATTTCTAATCAATGGACATACGACTGTTGCTTCTCCAACCACTCTGAGCTCTACATGGCATGGAAAATATTCAGCTGTTGACTGGAGATTATTGGAGAGAAAGAAAGGAAGGTGGGTGCCAACAACACTCTTCTTCATTGGGCATATGCATACATGCGACTGGCTGGCTGACTGACTGACAGTCGTATAGAATTGTCTGGTTGTTAGGGAAATTTTTAAATTAAATTTTCATTGAAATCCTAAAGGAAACGAAGTGGAATCGAAAACCAGAGCAACAAAGGAGCAGTCGTAAAAAAGCTTACATTCACATGTGAAATACTTTGTTTTGCCCGGACGTTGGCTAGGTTGGGATGTTGATTTTATTAAATGCAACTTTGTATTTGGCACAAACAACTAAAACAGTGTAATGGCGCTTGCAACTTGTTAAAATATTTCAAAACTTTCGTTATTATTATTTATTTTTTTTTAAATCCAATTTTTTTCAACTGCTTTTTTGAATAGGCGACCTCTATACGACAGGTTTCAATGGAATTGCGAAAGATTTCTATCAACCCTTTTGTCGTTTTTCTGCACATTCATGCTAGCCATTTTCTAAAGTTTTTGGAAACAATGATTGCTTGGAAGATTAAAGAAGGTTTCATCTCACCAAAAATCATAAGAATCGTCCATTTTGCCGTAACAGAGTCCAGCGATCAACACCTTCAATTACAAAAATTTCTGAAGTGGTGCAAATTTCCCTGTCATTTATCAGTAGATAATTTGGTTAATTGCAGTTTTTTTTTTTATATTGTGGAAAAAGATTTTAATTTTCTGTAAGTACTCTGCCCGTTGCTGATTCGAATTAATATTAAAGAAAGTGTATATATTTTTGCTTAAAAATTTTCTTATTCTCAGAATATACCTTCGCGCAGTATCGTAATTTCATACTTTTTATTAAAATCGTAAGCTCAGTTGATCATCTATTTTACTTCGCTTCCATCTTCCCGCATTGGCCTATTAACAAGGTAAATGGATTTGTTTTTGATATTGTCTATATTCCTTCCTTTACTAAATTTTGTATTCTCAGAAATTAATACGCAATATCATTTGGTTTGTCAGGTATTTATCGTAACTTCGTATGGAAGGAGAGAACCGAAATTGGAACAACTGTGCTGCAATCACATGTGCTTTATCCTCACTCATTTTTTATGATCATTATTGTTGTTCCACATCATAATTCGTCCCAACATACCTAGGCTTGATCATTGGTTTCATTTAGCAACGATTAGTAGTGAGTAAATAAGCTAGAGAAGAGCTACGAAAAAAATAAGGAAAGACGGTACAGCGTTGTCGTGTACAAAAATCTGCAATTTCCATCATAAAATTCTCAAAACTAAAGCAAAAATGCAAGCGGAAATCTACATATATACATAAACTAGAATGTGACCGAAAATTGGAATGGCGACAAAATGATATTTAATTCTGCAAAAGAAATAGTTCCCACGTTCGAAATATTAAGAAAAAACTCAAGCGAAACAACGTAAACTTCATTATAATATTTAGTGAATATTGTGAATCCTAATTTTTCTTTAAAAAGTGTTACTTTCATTTCTTTGATTTAAATTAATTTTTCTGCATTCTTTTGTTTTTTTTTTCTTTGCAAAAGTATAAAAAAAAAGAAACAACAAAACAAGAATTTTGTAAATTCCGTGGCGTTTGGTATAGAACATTAGCTGCTACACACTCGAATTACATATTTATCACCTGATTACAAAATTAATAATGATCATTAAACCTGTCAGTTGAATGTGCTGTGTGTGCAGTTATGTTCGATTTCAAACGTTGCGGTTGATATCATAAAAATCTCCACTAAAGATTATTGTTTGATCTCAACATGTCAGTCAAACATACAACGACCCAACATGCATGACACAACAATTTCAATTATCACAGTCTCTTACGTCTGAATTATCCGCATCTCTTATTACATGCACATTTACACCATTAAGCTGTTGTTGCTGTAACTTCATCTCTGAGAAAGTACTTTCAACGAGGGAGCATATCAACAAAGCACGTAAGTCATTAACCTCTTATTTTGATTTTTTTTTGGTGAGAATACGATAAAGAAAAGAGAATAGCAATCCAAAAGAAAGGTGAACATATGATTTGATATTTGAAATGAAATTACTTAGAATTCGTCATTTTAATAATTTAAATGAATTGAAAGATTATGAATGAAGGAAATACAATCAAAAATATTATGTCGTTTTTTTTTTAAATATGATTTGGCCACCTTTCTTTAATCCCGAATAATTATTTTGTTATTCTCTTTGATAAATCTGTATAGAGTTATGTATAAGCCTGTGAATATACTCTTATTTAACTGTGATATGAGTATTAAATGGTGATTTTGTTGACCTTTAAATGTTTGATGGGGAAATTTTTTTGAGATCAGAGTTTGAAGTAAAAGAAGTGATTTTATTTTAAAAAAAAAATTATGCCAAGAAATGGTACTCTTTCTTACAAACAATTTAGACTTGTTATCTTGTTTCTTGTTTTATATATTTAATTTTACTATAAGGTGTTAGATTAAGTCAAATATTTTCATTTTTATTTTTTTTCTTTACTTTGTTAATCTGATTCTTAAGATTACCAGTTAATCATGTTCAAATTTAATATTAATAAAAGCGCAAGCATGTGTTGCGAATAATAGAATAAAAATATCTGTTTGATATCTCTCGGATGTAGGCGAAGGTTTCCTGTAGCAATTAAGGGTTGCAACACGACTTGTATTAATGGAATTTGTTTTGTTGCAACTAGGTTGGGTGGGCATGTCGAGCAACACAACATCAGTTCGCTCTGCAACATTTTGGTTTATGTCCGTTTCCTCTTTCTACATCTTTCTCTCCAAACATCTAGGCATGCGTAGGTAGTGTCTTCCGTTTCCTAACATACACTTTTGAGATTTATGTATTTATCAACATCTTTTTCATGCACGCAAATAATATATAGTTCATGTAGCACAATGGCATTGGGACATTGATATTTTTGGAACCCCCCCCTCCGGCGAGCAGAAGGCTGGCTTTAAAGCGTGCATACCATTCAGTGTATAACCCAACAACAACACCAACCATACATACAGACGTTATATGCTACAGAATTATAAATGGCGCCCAACGTGTCGGCCCGAACAATAATTTTTAATATTTTTTTCCACCTGACTGATTGTCACAAATGTTCGGCTTCACAAAAGTTATAAAGTAATCTCATAATTGTGTCTCTTTAACTTTCTTTTCTTGGATTTACCAATCCTTTTGTCATTATTAAAATATTAGGAACTGCTTGGAATTTATTTAGGGTTGGAATATCCTGTGATAACCAGCATATTTCTATATTTTATCAGTTCGCTACTTGTCAATTCTAAGAGACTTGATGGAATACAGTTTTCTGGGGTTTTGTACTAGATCTGGCCTCAAATATTTTAGACTGACAAAATCTAAATCTGTCTCATTCTCGGGATTTATAGGAAATTCTCGGGATTTCTGTACCGGAGTTTGAATTCTTTTTCTCTTCTAATATATCTTATATTTTCTTCACCACCAAATGTTGATGTTAAAGGGAAACCTGTCTAGCTAAAGAGAGTAATCAAACAGATAGAAATAAATTTGTAAATAAATTTGAATTTTGGTAATCCGATATTCATATCAGAATTGAGTACAGTTGAAATATGTTCCCAATTTTTGTTTTGGTTTTTTGAATTTCCAAAATTGTCAATCGTATTTCGATACATTATATACATTTATATGTATTTTTCATAATATCAGTTTTTAAGGGAATTATATTATTATTGTTGCTAACATAATTACAATCTTTGTTAATTTTCTCAATTAGGTGTTGGAAATTTTCTCTATCATTTAATTTTATATGATTCTAATGATTTTTTCGTTCATTCGAAATTAGAATATATTTTTAGTTTTACAAATCATACATTTTATTTTTATCAGGATTATAGTCGTTGGTCTACTGGGTTGTGGAATTTTGTCTGCGGTCTATTAGGATATTCATACAAGATGTCAGTTGAACAGAATAGTGAGGACGTTGTTCACGAAGCCTCTGGACAAACTATCCCAACATGTGGAGCATGCTCTGCATTAATTAATGTGAAAACACAGTTTTTCAGAACAAATTGTGGACATACCTTTCATAAGGCGTGTCTATCGAAATGTGAGAAAATTAGACCCTATTGCCCCATCTGTAATGCCAGGTTGTTTAATGAACCCTCTACCCCTAGTACATCGGGGATTAGTACTAGATCTCAATCCAGATCCACATCAGCTCAGCTAACAAGTAATAAATCTAGTATTGAGCAGCCCAGTACTGCTGCAAATGTACGTCCAAGTGGGGATGCCGCTGGCAATGATGTGAGCATGCGTCCTAGCGAACTTCAGGAGATGGTTAGATCTATTGTGTTTGCGCAGCAAGAACAGTTATTAGCTAGCTTAGGAGATCAAATATCGCGAATTGTCCAGAATAGTATTGAGTCTAAATTGGAGGGACTCAGTCAAAACGGTGCGAGTATTTCTACAGGTGTTGTTCCACAACCGAATACTCATAACACTCCACAGAGGCAAATGCATACTTTGCCTGCAGTTGAGGAACAAACTTTCCGTGAAATGTTAGGTTTATCCCACAATCACTCTCAGAGTAATGTAAATTTAAACGTTAGCCGTTGTGGACCTTCTGCGTCTAGTCACTCTTCGTCATCGGATTTGTCATCAAGACCTGATAAAGTTTTAAATATTATGTCCAATTGGAGGATAAAATTCTCAGGGAGTCCGAATGGTTTGACGGTAGAGAATTTTATATATAGAGTGAAGGCCCTGACAGTACAAACACTTCAAGGGGATTTTGATTTACTCTGTCGAAATGCTAGTTCCCTTTTTGAAGGTAAGGCTGCTGACTGGTTTTGGCGATATCACAGATCAGTTTCCAGGGTTTCGTGGAATGATTTGTGTATGGCATTAAAACAGCAGTTTAGCGATTCCCGTTCCGATGTTGACATAAGGGAATTGATCCGGGACCGAAAGCAGAAGCAAGGCGAAAGCTTTGATAGCATCTATGACTCTGTAGTGGAATTGACTGACAGATTAAAAGAATCTCTATCAAACGATATGTTGGTCGAAATTTTACGGCGAAATCTTTTGCCGGAAATACAACACGAAATATTGAACATACGTATAACTTCTATTCAGGAGCTTAGAGACATATGTAGGAGACGAGAGTTTTTCCTTCAGGATATCCGCCGGAAACATTCCAGTGGTTTATCGAAACCATCTCTTATGACAAAGAAAGTTTATGGACTGGAAGAAGTTTTGGTCGAAGATGACATGGAATCATCAAGTACTGAAAATGATCATGTTGCATCGATTAGCCTTAGTTGTTGGAATTGCCGCCAGATAGGGCATCGATACCAAGATTGTCTATCAGATAGGACTATTTTTTGTTACGGATGCGGAACTCCAGACACTTACAAGCCATCTTGTAAGAAGTGCAATCCAAAAAACTCCCGATCGGGTGCGCTGGCAAGTGCACCGAAAAGGAAACCGGATTCAGAATAAATATTCTAAAAAGACCAGAAACCAACCCTACACCCAAATGTGACAACAAATTTACAAAGATTACTCCCGAATGCGATACGACCGATTCGATCCTTAAATTTAAGCCTTTGCATATTCGTATAAAGGAATACTATGAAGCCAGGGATAGGATTTTCAACAAGAAAAGTGCACCATCTAGATCGGCCAAGAGAATTCGAGAATTTTGGAGGAATATAAAGAGTTTTAATAGAAAATTCATGTGCTCTGTATTGGACAAACCCTCCGATATCCGGCCGTATGCTGAAGTCATTCTTTTTGGTCAAACAATGCTAGGCTTAATGGATACCGGTGCCTCTCTGAGTTGCATAGGGGCTACAGCTGCTAGAAACTATCTAGATTCAGGTAAACCTTATAAAAAGATAAGTTCCTTTGTTAGAACAGCGGATGGAAAGAATCAAGACATTGTTGGATGCGTAGATACAAAGATAATATTTAAGGGATCAGAAAGGAATATTACGATTTTTATTATTCCAAGCTTAGATAGAGACCTCTTTTTGGGAGTAGACTTTTGGAATCTTTTTGATCTTCTTCCTCCTGGTTTGGTCCTGAATGACTATATTTCAGACAATTCGTCATTTATTTCCGAAATGGCTCCACAAGTTCAGTTGTCAGATAAACAGAGACTGCAATTAGATAGAATTGTTAGCTTGTTTCCATCATTTTCCAAGCAAGGTTTAGGTAAAACCCATGTTATAAATCATGTCATAGACACAGGATCCGCCAAACCAATTAAACAGAGGCATTTTCCAGTGTCTCCCGCTGTGGAGAAGCTAATATACGCAGAATTAGACAGGATGCTTGAACTCGGGGTCATTGAGGAATCCAATAGTCCGTGGTCGTCACCTGTGGTTCTTCATAGAAAACCGGGGAAAAACAGACTCTGTCTAGACAGCAGGAAGTTAAATTCCGTGACTGTTGGGGATGCATATCCTCTGCCCCACATTGATGGCATTCTAAGTCGTTTGCCGAAAGCTGAATTTATAACGGCCTTGGATCTGAAGGATGCCTTTTGGCAGATTCCGTTGGATCAACAATCGAGAGAGAAAACTGCATTTACTGTTCCTGGGAGGCCGTTGTACCATTACACGGTCATGCCTTTCGGCCTTTGTAATGCGCCTCAGACGATGTCACGTTTGATGGACAAGGTCATACCACCGGCTCTCAGGACAGAGGTGTTCGTTTATCTCGACGATTTGTTGATTGTTTCGGAATCTTTTGAAAGGCATTTGGACGTTCTAAGGCTCGTTGCAGGCAAAATTAAGGAGTCCGGCTTAACTATTAATGTGGAGAAGAGCAACTTCTGTGTTTCAGAAGTTAGGTATCTGGGTCACCTGGTTGGTGGCGGTGTAATAAGAACAGATCCGGATAAAGTTTCCGCTATATCAGATTTTCCAACGCCCAAGTCTGTTAAACAAGTAAGGCGATTCCTAGGCATGACGGGTTGGTATAGGAAATTCATCAGGGAC